AATAATTCCAGCTAAAATAAAGTATCTTACAGTAATTCAGTATTGGCATTCACATAACTATAAAATAAATTCAACATTATACTTACATAATTTGAAGCGCTGAAATTTTATCTTTTAATAATTCTTGGGCTCGGTTAAATTCTCCCAGCATGCTCTGTGTTTCTCTCAGATGCTCTGCTGCCAAGTTATCAAGGTGTTTTTGATGTTTCTTGGCCAATTCATTTTCTTGCTTTCTGATAATGTATAAAAATGTCCAATGGTGATCACAATAGTGTAATTGTTTGCACAAAAGCGTTCGGCTGTTTTGTGTAGTGAATTTGCTTTGTGTATATCTGCCTGATGATTTCAGAGAAGAACAACAGATCCTTACTCAAGAAATTGGAAAAACAGCGAGAGAAAACTTTGTAAATGAACTACAACCTTCTTGGAATTTTAGGTGGTATAAACCTTTTTACCACCAGTTTCCTCTTTTCTTCACAAATTCACAAAATAGTACTTTTCTTTCAGATGATTGGGACAAAAATAGCCAAATTTTTTTTTAGTGAAAACTAAAAATTGACTCATATTCAGTCAGTCTGCTGGCTCCAAGAAACAAGTGCAGAATAATATGAGTTAAGTCGGTCTACAGGGAAGTGGGTGAATATTGCGGAGATTGTTATCTTGTTTGACAGTAAATTGAATTATAAATTTACTGCATAATCATTTCACTTCTTAAGTTCTAAACCTGACTAGAAAAGAGTCTAAATCATTGCGTCACACCACCTTCAATATGGGTATACAGTATGATTGAGACAGGTATGAGACGTATACAGTGCATTTAAAATGCATTGTTTGTGCAACGAGTGAGGGACGTCAATTACAAAGTCAAGAGCAAGAGCATAAACTTTACCTGAGTTGATTATTAGTTGCACTTTTTATTCTAAGAATCTCTTGTCCTTTAAACTCAATTTCTTTGTTTAGTTGATCTATGTCTACTTTGATTTCTCTGATCTCTGCTTCAACATTGTCGATGTGCCGCTCTCTGTGCCTCAGATCATCTTGCAAGTCGTGTATTTTATCTTGATAATCTGTTTCCTAGACGATTAAAAAATTATACAGAGTACGATAAAAATGTGTTTTATATAAATTAACCCTTTCACCTCCAGTTCCCACTTTTCATCACAATTCACAAAATAGTCCTGTTCATAGTCTGAACTGTCCTTCAGAAGATTGGGACAAAAATAGCCAAATTTTTTGAGTGAAAACTGAATCAAATTTTGTCTGTTGGCTCCAAAAGTAGGTTTATCTATGGAGCTAGTAGCTCCACGGTTTATCACATGGTTTAATTGTCACAGAGTGCATGATCATGCAGCAATTGTTACCAAACAACAAAACAACACACAAACACTTTCATGATTCACAATTCAGAATAGAAACATTCAGGATATTGTGTGATCCAGTGAATCTTGTATTGACTAAGATAGTGGTCATCTTCTGAGTTCAAGTGGATTTTGTTAACTGCCAATGCATGTGATTGTATTCAATAAACTTCATGCATATACATATATACACATATGCTTGTAGTGAGAGGAATGTTTGTTTTTCTAAAAAACGTAAGGAAAATGTTCTCCTCCATATTCAGTCAGTGCTGTAAAATCTGTATTAGAAGCTGCATTCCTAATAGAAGCCGCACCCATGCTTTTTGAACAATTTAGAACCAAACATTCACCATTTCTCATATGTGTAGATGCTCTAATAGAAGCCGCATCCCCTCTGTTGCATTGTACCATTTTAATAGAAGCAGCGGCTTCTAATACAGATTTTACAGTAATACTGATACATGTTTTTCTACCCAAATATTTTATAAAAAAAATCTAACATACAGTGCTCAATGAGCAGTGTGCAACAGAGGTGTATGTAAAAATAATTTGGTGAGAGTGAAAGCACACCAACCTGATATTTGTTTTCATTGATTTATCTGGGAATGTAGACGTGTTGCAATAAAGAAAATTTGTACTGTATTTGTACAATTGTTCTTACCTGTCGTTGTTTCAGCTCCAAGGCTCTTTCTAACTCCATTTTCACAGCACCCATTTGTGTTTTATGCGCCCGAGTTAACTGATCCAATTCCCCCATATGACGTTTGGAAAAATCTGATTTGATTTTCTCTAACAAAAAAAAAATAATAAGACTATGAGTGCTGTGTTTTCATTTGAAAGTTATTTTGGCTGCGAAAATAAAATGTGCAAATAACACCCTCTCCCCAGTTACAAGTAAATCATTACAAATCTAACAAACTAAATTTTCATGTGTGAGTTATGCGACAACAAATTCCAGTTAAAAAATATAATCTACAAAACTGTAGAGATTGATGAGTTAAATTAAAACTAACCACAGTACTGCTGATGCTCCATCTTCAAACTGTCGATATCCAACATTTTTTGTGTCTCTGCCTCTTCTTTCGTTCTTTCAATTGCCAAATTATTATTAAGTATCTGAGACATCAACTCATCTTCATGGATCTTTTTCATCTTCTCTTCCAAATTCTGGAAAAAAAAATAGTAAATAATAAAATATTATACATCTGACACTGAAAACAATAGAATTTAATCGGCCGTAAAACGTTGTAGAATAGTTTGAAGTGTTTCCGTATAAAAATGTATAATAATAAGTTTATCTCGAGAATACAGCTAAGTATGCTCCCAGGCAGTACAGGAATGCAAGTACTTCCACCATGTGTTGGTTATTATGGTCACCGTACTGCCTTCATGCATACTTTGCAGTATTCTCAAAGTAACTTCATATTATTACAATACATTCAACATTGAAAATCACTAATTCCAAGCGCCTGACAAACACGGTATTCAACAACATATTACGAATGCTAAATGAAAAGATGCTACAACCTTATATATCAATAAATCATTTTTCAATATGATCAATAACACTTTTTATTTTCTATTTGAATTTAATAATGATAAATGATCTGAAAGATGAAAAGCATTTTGCAATGATTTGTAAACTTACTTGTAATTCAACCTGTTTTTCATCTTCTAATCTGTTCCTTTCAGCCACGTTTGCTGCTTCTATTGCACTAATTCGCTTTGTATACTCTTCAATGCTATCGTCCATTTCCTTACGTATTCGTCTTATCTCCTCATCCATCTCTCTCCTGAGTCGCTGCGTCTCATCACTGGCTTCTTGATTTCTCTCAGTTAGATTCATTTTCAACATAGAAATCTATGGATAATGCAATTATAATTAATACTTTTATTAATTGCATCAATAACAAATCACATAACCTGAAGTCGTTTCATGCCATATGGCTGTCATTGTTTGAAGATATTAAAAAAAATTAAACTGAAAATAATTTTTTCATGGGCGCAGATGCATTCTAACTTTGTTTACACACTCCATTGAAGATGAGTTTGAATGAAGTAGTTATACAAATCTAAATACATGTAGCAATTTTTCTGAGTCAAAACAAAAAATTATACCAGTTTGGAGATTCTAGATAGTTAATGTGTATACTATTGTGGTTAAGGTTTTGCCCAAGATATGTCCATATTTGCACAATCAATTAATTATGCATATTGTATTTAAATTATCTCATTACTATTCAATTTATTTTGCAAAATATTATACATTCAGTTACCTCTTTTAAGAGGTCCTCTACTTTGACTTGCCATCCTTGGCGGGCTGCATCCATTTCTTGGTTCTTCATCAACGACAACTGTTGCAATGCAGCCGCTTTGTCTTCATTATGTTGTTCTATGAGCTCCATACGAAGCTTGTTGCATTCTTTCCTGTGGTGTTAATTGAACGTAACAAGATGTAACAACCTCCAGTGAGAGGCTAACAACTTAAGTGAACAACTATATGACCTCCAGTGGGGGGGCTAACAACCAGTGGGAACAGCTGCATGACCTCTAGTCAGGGG